CTTTCCTTTCCACCTGATCAAATACCTCGTTCGTCCTCCTCTTGTGGATATGATCTCATCACTTAAGACTGCCTCCACTTACTTTGCTATGGGAAATTTGGGAATATCTGGTAGTGGATGTAGGTTCGGGATCTCACAAGGTGGGTTCACACAAGAATGTTTTGATAGTGGATTTGGTGGGTTAAAATAAGGACCTTCATATGCCACTAAGTCTTCTATGTTAAAAGAGGGATTTATATTGAACTATGCAGGCAGATCTACTACATAGGCATTGTCATTAATTTTTTTAAGTATTTTGAAAGGTCTAGCACTCTTTGCATGCAATTGAATCCGCACCATCACAGAGTTACTAACCTCAAAAGTTTTAAATCGTTGTTTTAAATCTGCATGTAATTTATATTCATGATTATTCTTTTCAATTTGTTGTGCAATATCCTTATGAAGTTCATGCAAATGCTGATGCAGACTCAGAAATCCTATACCTAGAACTCATGGGTATCAGATCTATCGGCTGTCTAGGTTTGAACCTGTATGCAATTTCAGAAAGACTAAGACCAAGGGTAAAAATCACTGAATCAAGGTAGTCGAGTCCACCTGGAATACGATCAGATAGGGAGGCTCCATGGGCTAGATCTAGAACATGTGAAATGCCTCTACTCGGGGGTAATGGATCAGGAAGACCATCAGGATGGATCTCAACAAGTATACTAGGTATGAGCTGACTCCCATGAGGAGCTGATTCGTCAGGCTTAGTGGGAGTCTCACGATCGACTAAGGTGTGTAAAGGCATGCTCTGGGCTATGACGATTATCAGGTTCAGTTCCTTCTTGGCTTTGACAGGGTTGGATTCAGGATCATTCGAAACCCGAGCCTGTGATGGCAAAAGCTTGATCTTTTTACCATCATGTTCAAATACGCAGATGTTTGAACGACCATAAATGTGGACATCGTTGTCAAAAAGCCAGCGGCGTCCTAGAAGGATTTGTCCAACGTTCATGATCAATACATCACACCAAACATTTTCCTTATAGTCAGTGAAGGAGATAGGTATGAAGCTGCGTTCCTTTACCTCCAAGGCAGTGGTGTTGACCCAAGCTACCTTATAGGGGTTGGGGTGGGGAACGACAGACAGACCAAGCTTAGACACCATGCTGGAAGAGACAGCATTGATGCAGCTGCCACTATCCACGACGTCTTTACAGTTCTTATCCTTGATTTTAGTATAGGTGTGAAAGATCGTAGTCCTACGCCAGTCGTCGGTGGTAACGGATTGTGACAGTGCACATCTCGCCACGCATGTGGGAGAAGTGTCAATTGTCTGAATGTACTAGATGACAGTAGTGTCGTCATCCTCCTCAAAGAATTCACCATCATTGTCCACTTGGTGAATCTGGTCGATTTCGGGATCGAATTTAGCTTCAGTGATCTCTTCGATAATTGTGACTTTATATGGACTAGAGCACTGAGAGGCGATATGCCCATACCCCTGACATCTAAAGCATTTGGTCCAGGGGTTAGATCAATGGGTATCCGGAGTGGGAGACTTATTTCTAACATCAGGACGAGGAGTGGGGGGACCAGACGAGGGTCGGGTAGTGGTCCCAGGGGTCGACTGGGCAGTGGGGGTGTGAGGGGTGGAACTACCAGAAAGTCTGTAGGAAGGCCTAGAGTCATGTGAACGACTCGGGTGCTGAGAACGGGTCTCCTCTAGATCAAGCACGAGGCTGTAGGCATTCTCCAGTGTAGTGACGTTCCGGGCAAACAACTCATTGCGTAGATCCTCATTCCTCACGCAACCTAGTACGAAACATAAATAAGATCTGCGCGGGGGTGATAGAGGTCTCCCCTTTGCAGCGAATCAAGAAGTCATCAAAGGAGGTGATGTAGTCCTTCACTGGTTTGTTGCCTTGGGTTAGCCTATTCCACCTGTCCAATAGGTTGGGGAAGTACGACGGAGGCAAGTACTTTTACTTGAGTTCCCACTTCATGGACATTCAATCTACAATAGGGTAATCATTCCTATCTTCCCTGAGACTCTCTAAGTTCGCCCAAAACTGACTCGCCCTACCCATTAGTTTTATAGCCGCAAAACTAACCTTCCTGGCCTCAGATATGTCATACCACTTAAAGAAACTGTCCATACCTTTGACCCAGTCCAGGAAGAGCTGGGGATCGAGGTTGCTATCAAAGGTAGGAGCATCGACCTTAATATTCTTCATAAATGGCGCATCGGGGTCGTGGCTGTGGTAGCTCACCCAAATTAGGATCATGACGTGGATCATGTCCATGGTAGGGAGCTCGATGATTGGCCCGATGTGGCCTCTCATCCGGGTAAGTCTCATCCCCATACATAGAAGGTGATCTAGATTGGGTGTAGGGCATATGGTGGTCTCTAGCTCGCTCAAGTGTATCAAATCTCTCGGTGGTGTTCCTACGAAGCTCAGCTAGGTCGACTTGGTTCTCTTTGAATTGTTGGCTAATATTGTTCATTTGGCCTACCAAGAGGTCTAAAGTCCTTCCTAGTTGATCCGGATCCATTCCTAAACACAATGGGGTACTGGGAAGGCTTCCTAGGAAGTGGAAAGCAAACTAGGGGATGGAAAGACACTCTAAAATGACCCTATATGGTGCAGGAAATTCAGGGACAGCAAATAACACTAAGGTACAAAGTCATCCTAGCAAATAATGAGGTTTGCGAAACTAGGGACAGCAAAAAAAAAACTTAAAAAGTGGCCCTAAAGCTTGCTAAAAGCTGCAGAATTTTTCTGGACAGCACACAAAAATGAGGTGTAAGGGTGAACTAAGATGTTTTATGCATGTAAAATGAAACACAATGATTTGGTAGCACCCTAGGGATAAATCGAATAGCTTGCTAGATGAAACTGAAGTAAAATAAATGCATAAAAGGAAGACTACCAGGAATCCTAAAACATGCAAGAGCATACCATGCTCTGATACCAGATGATGCAGGACTATGCAACTGAAATGCTAGTTAACTTAAAAAGGATTTGCACAACTTGTGAGTATAATAATTCAGGAACAAAATTACTAGCGGATTCAAACAATGATTCAAAACAATTAGGAGTTATCTGCTCAGGTTTAAATCACATGCTAAGAACTTTGAAACTTCCA